TCTAGCAAGATGCAAGACTTTACATGATGAGTGATAATTTGCAATCGCTTCGTCAGGGTAGTATTTGGGGTGGCTCACTTGGCAGGCAGACGAGCTAATCTGACCAACGGGGGGACAGCAGAAGCGACACATTGGCCAAGGCGAAAGTTAGGTCACTAGATCCAACAATAGAGCCCCGTCATCATTGGTAGAGAATTATAAGGTTGGCGCAATAAGGTATAGGATATTGCCAACAGCATTGTGCCGAATAACAAAGAAGCGGGGCCAAGCATCAGCACGTACAGGCAAGCAACGCAGCCCCCAAATGCTATACTGAAGGCCATCTTTCATTCTACCATATTTGAACCACATTCCCTTTTTGGCATACCGGCTGTCCTAGGCATGAAGACGACATATTCTCAATTTTGAGACCGCTGTAATATTCATTTGCTGCGTGATCATGGATTACACTGCAGTTTACTTGCAAGGCTGAGAAAGAAGATATATCTCTGGGTATCGTGCAAGTACTGGGAACCCCCGCACAGTTGTTCAGATAGGACAGCGCAATTTATGACCTTTTACTATGGCGCTTTAGGGCCGTTATCCAATCTATTTAGATTTGAATAGATCCATCTGATGTTTTAAATTAAGTGGACCAGTGGTACTAGAGTGGGCTTCCTATCAGGAGCTACGCCTTTGAAATGACACGTACTGTTATTCATACAGTATGGTACACGAGGCATAGCTACCCCTACCCAGCTGCATTATCTTATTAAGGGAATGATCTACAACGTATTTGGCCCCCATCAGGTAATCAGGACCCTATGAGTACTATGTACTGCAATAATTTAAATAATGTTCAGTTAATTCTTTCAAGTTGAATGCATTGAAGACTCAGAGCCTCGGTCAGAATTTTATTTTTTGCTAAAATATGAGAATAATATATACCTCGCTTCCATTCCTCACAACAAACAAATAGTATCATATATTGTTGTGATGGTCCAATCACAAATACAAAGTCTCTACCTTACAGAGTACTGAATGTATATACATTTTCCCTGTCAAATAATTAATTTTAGTCAGAGGACTAGAAAATATTCTGCCCTAGGTATCCACCTCCTCCTATCAGCCTGTCACTGTTTCTCTGCTCTCACCCCCTCCTGCCCCGCCTCCAGCAAAGCCCCACTACGCCTGTTGTCCAGACAGTGGACGGAGTACTCCGTAGATCCTAGATTACCTACTCTGAAAACGCTCTTCGCTTTTCTTCAGTGTGGTTGTGCGTGCTCAAATTTACATACCATTTGGCCCCTCAGAGATCTTCGCGACCGTCTCCTCTCTCCTGGTTTCCTTTGCTAGACATGACTGTCGACCCGCCAGAGCTTCTCGAGAAGCTGACAATCAGCGGTAGGGCTTTAATGATCTGTTATTCGAAATATATTCCAGCAGCAACAAAGCTAATACCTGCCTTTGACCCACAGATGCTGGTGCAAACGGAGCAGAGACAGGTACCTCCGCCCCCGCCGCAGCAAACGAAACATCGAAGGAAGCAGAGGACTCGGACGACGACGTTGCCGAGAATACCTCAGCAGTAGCTGCCGAGGACGGGGCTACCAAGAAGAAGAAGAACAAAAAGAGAAAGCCTAAGAAGAAGCAACCGAAGGTCCAGACCGATCCGCCTTCGATTCCCCTATCCCAGCTATTCCCCAACAACACCTACCCCAAGGGCGAAGAGGTCGAATACAAGGACGAGAATCGATATCGAACGACCAGCGAGGAGAAACGACACCTTGACAATCTCAACAGCGACTTCCTCTCTGATTACCGTCAGGCCGCTGAGGCACACCGTCAGGTCCGTCAGTGGGCACAGAGAAGCATCAAGCCCGGTCAAACGCTCCTTGAGATTGCTAATGGCATCGAGGATTGTGCGCGACGTCTGGTGGGCCATGACGGTTTAACTGAAGGTGACTCTTTGATAGCCGGCATGGGATTTCCCACGGGGTTGAATATTGATAACGTCGTCGCCCATTACAGCCCTAACGCCGGCTGTAAGACTGTACTTGCGCAGAACAATGTCCTCAAGGTTGATATTGGCATTCATGTAGGCGGTCGGATTGTCGACAGTGCCTTCACAATGGCGTTCGACCCTGTGTATGATAACCTCCTCGCTGCGGTCAAGGATGCAACCAACACTGGGGTGCGTGAAGCTGGCATCGACGTGCGGGTGGGAGAACTAGGCGGCTATATTCAGGAGGCGATGGAGAGCTACGAGTGTGAAATCAACGGCAAAACTCACCCGATCAAAGCGATCCGCAACTTGTGCGGCCACACAATCCTCCCGTACTCCATTCATGGTACCAAGAGTGTCCCCTTTATCAAGTCGAACGACATGACAAAGATGGAAGAAGGGGACGTCTTTGCCATCGAGACCTTTGGCAGTACCGGCAGCGGCCGATATGTCGAAGGAGGCGAGGTCTCCCATTATGCCCTGCGCGGTGACGCGAACAGAAAAGACTTGACTTTGTCTTCTGCCAGGTCCGTCTTGACAGCGATCAAGAAGAACTTCAGCACGATCCCTTTCTGCCGGCGCTATTTGGACAGGATTGGACAAGAGAAGTATCTCCTCGGGGTATGAGTCCCCATTCCGGACCGGCGATTGGAGCTCTTGACTAACATGAAGATAGCTGAATTACCTAGTAAAATCCGGAATCGTTGAAGACTATCCTCCTCTGAATGAGAAGCAAGGAACTTATACGGCCCAGTTTGAACACGTAAGTCATGTTGAGCTTTCTTCTCAAAGAGAATAACTACTAATGGTGGATATAAGACCATCCTGCTTCGACCGACCGTCAAAGAGGTCATCAGTCGTGGGGACGACTACTAGATGTATTCGTGGGTGGTGTTTTCCATTTCGTAGGGGCATTGAACGGTTGCGGAAATGAATATCATGGTTCATAGATCAACACACAGGGCATGAGAATACCATAAAAGTAGCTTGATGTCTTCCTCCGTTCCGGTCATCATATAACTTACCATTCAAGCTGTAGTAGCCTCAAATAGTGGAAGTGAACAATTTCGGCTATCTGAATATTCTTGCGCATTTCCCGATATTTCGGGCGAATCGACCTTCGGTTCAAGGACATTCTATTTTCGGTGTTACATGCTGCTTACGTCCCGTCTAGCGGGGAACAGAGTGATATGCGTCGGCTCGGACTGCTATTGTACTTGTACGTCTGCTTACACTACTGGACGGGTCTTGTTTACATACAAGTAGCCACTAATCTTCCTTACTGACAGTGGTCTGACCCAGTTTTAAACCGCAGTATCTGGCTATATTGGCAAGCATTGACATACCTTACGACCCTGTCTGTGCTCAACACCAAACACCTTCTACCATGGCCGGAATTGCAGAACAGTTAATCGAAAAGCTAAACGCTGTTGAGGCGGGCATCTTCGAGGGCCAGGATGCCACGCGACAGAGGCTGGCTCTGGCGGCCCGCAAACTCTTCCACACGCTGGAAACAAAGGAAGAAAAGACCATGCGACTCGCTATAGAGGAACCGATCATGTTCTCTGTGCTCCAGGCCCTCATTGATATTGGTCTATTTGAGGGCTGGGCTGCTGCCGGTGGTGGCGAGAAGGATGTGAGCGAGTTGGCTAAACTCAGCAAGAAAGATATTGAACCGGAGCTTCTATGTAAGGATTCACTACGCCACAGAGTGCCATTGAACTTGTATACTAATCATTTCACAGGTCACCAACTACGACTGATGGCTGCCAACCACATTATTCGGGAAACGGCAAACGACCGCTATGTACCTACGCCCTATTCGCTGGCTATCGGCGATAAGAGCACTCAGGTCGCCCCAGCGCTTCGCATCAGGTAAGCTGCAGCATTTGTGCATGGGGTAGTTATCGAACCCAGACGGACTAACGAGCAATCAACGACTAGAACTGATCACGTCGCACCATGTGCCATGCACTGGCCCGATTTTCTGGCCAAGACCAACTACCGTAAGCCGCGGGACGACAAGGCTAGTTGTTATATCGACACCTTTCCTGAAAAGAAGAGCTTTTTCGAGCGTTGTAGCGCGAACCCCGTGCACCAGGAGAGTTTCTCATCGTTTATGGATGTGTGGGCCAAGGGAAAGAGAGCTTGGCCAGAGTTCTACGACACACAAGCACTGCTTGATGGCGCCGACCTGACCAATGGTAGCCCATTCGTGGTGGACGTTGGCGGACACCACGGCATCGATCTCATGCGTGTGGCGGCGAAGCACCCGGATCTTCCCGCTGGATCTCTTGTGCTCGAGGACCTACCAGAGGTTGTCGGTGCTGTCAACCCTCCCACTGACAAGATCAGGACTGTGGCACATGACCTCTTCGAGGAGGGCGTTGAACAGCCCGTTAAAGGTAGGACACCTGGTCAGCTCCGAGTACAGTGCGTGAGGAGGCTAACAGGAATATGCAGGAGCTCGAGCGTATTTCATGCACGCCGTCCTGCATGACTGGTCGGACGAAACATCTGTCAAGATCCTTAAACAGATTGCCGCTGTCATGAAGCGCGGCTACTCGAAAGTGCTTATTAATGACATTGTGATCCCATCCACCGGTGCCAGTTGCTATCAAGCGGCCATGGACTGTCTTGTGTTGCAGGCTTCAGCCAATGAAAGAACCGAGGCCGTGTGGAGCAAGGTGATCCAGGATGCTGGTCTCAAGCTAGTCAAGTATTACCCTGATGGTCGTGGATACGAGAGCGTGATTGAGGCCGAGTTGCCATAACCGAGCTTATTGCTTGCATCTGAAAGACAGGGGGACACAATGGTCTCCAGCCTTTTTCACGTCCCTGCCACACGTACACTCTCAATCAACATAGATAGATTTGTCAAACATAGGCATCAAGGAATTGAAAATAAATTGCCTTCCGTAATAAGCCCATGGCGCTGCATTAACTTGTCAGATATACTTGCACAGGCTATATTGTTCGGTATACTGAATTGATCTATCAAATATATTTATGCGATCTAGAACTCGAGGTATTTCTTCATAAATTCAAGCTGCCTCGCCAGGACTTCTTCTGCTCCCTCTCCGTTAATGACATCCATATGACCTCTCCCAGCAACTAGATCGAACTCCTTGTTTGGCTCCGGAATCATGTCAAATACAGCTTTTTGATCCGCAGGGCTTGAGATGGTGTCCTCGGCGGGAGTGACCATCATGATTGGCGTCCCTTTGATGAGGCGCATCGCCCCGTACGGCTGCCACGCCAGCACATGGTAGTAGCTCTGCACTGTTGTCTGGTTGGTAAAGAATGAGGTGCCCAGGAATGCTCGGAATTGCTCCATATTGTACTGGTTACCCCAACCAGCGGGGTTGTAGCCATCATCACCCACAAAGGGAATGTATACCGGTTCATTGCCTGCGATGGTGGAGACACGATCCTGCATTGCCAATGCCATGACGTTGTTCTTTTCCTTCTCTCTGAAATCGTAGTTGGCAATCGGTGTCACCGAAATGGCCGCTCCAACACGGTGGTCTAGACCAGCCGCAACAAGCGCCGTCATGGCACTGAATGAATAGCCGTAGAGAGTGATCTTGTCCTCATCGACCATGGGATGACGGGCCATGAAGGTCAGAGCGTCGTGAAAGTCCTCCACCAGCTTGGCGGGCTTGACATCATTGCGCGGTTCGCCATCACTGGCACCAATGCAACGATTATCATACAAGAGTACCGTTACTCCCTGTTGCTGGAACCAGACGGCGACATCTGGTAATAGGATCTCTTTTGGCGTGTTGAACTAGAAAGATTTAGTTTACAAGGAAGGATACAATAAAGTCATACGTACTCCTTGGTTCATGACAATAGCTGGCCCTCGAATTGTCCCTGGGTAAAGCCAGCCGCGTAACGTCAACCCATCAAAGGTACGAAACTCGACATCCTCGCGATTCATTGTGGACAGTTGTGGTCTCCTACAGCAGCTTCCAACAAAGTGTTTAGAATGTACACAGAAAAATGAAACAGTGACAAACCACTCAGTCATTTCATATCAACACCATACAGTAATCCGAACAGAGCGGTAGTTTCGGTATTACACTCGGTAACCGACCTGTGAGACACTATTGAGGTAGCTAAGATTTCGGTGCCGATTACCAGATCTATACGCCGATTCGACGGCACGGGGAACTCATGGCTTATCGGTAATAGGAAGTCCATACTCCATAACCCGTGTACAGCGCGGCTCATTAGGTGGTACGAAGCCAACCCTACCTTTTGTATCGTCTAATGAGGTTATTGTCTAGACGAGGATCGGCTTGGCGACGTTCTACCGTTTTACCGTACTTTCCAGCCCCACATTCAGGTCAGCATAGTGTTAGACCCAGGTGATGGTATCAAGATAGTTGAAGACCGGTAACCTACTTCCTGTTTGTTTTGTTCTCATCTAGACCATTCTTGGACGATTTCGCCCTTTTCCTCGCCGTTACCACAACACGAGATGACCATCACGAATGGCAACAAGCGCATCCAGGATGCTCCAGAACCTATCGCAATTATTTCCGCAGCCTGTCGATTACCAGGGCATGTGAACAGCCCGCACAAGCTATGGGAGCTCCTTCAGTCTGGCGGCACTGCCGTTTCCAACCAGGTGCCCAAATCTCGGTTTAGCTCAGAGGGCCATTTCGACGGGTCGGGCAGGCCTGGCACCATGAAAGCCCTGAGCGGCATGTTCATCGAGGATATCGATCCTGCCGCCTTCGATGCTTCCTTTTTCAACCTCACCCGGGCTGATGCGATCGCCATGGAACCCCAGCAACGTCAGCTCCTAGAAGTAGTATACGAGTGCTTCGAGAATGGTGGCATACCAATCGAGAAAGTGAGTGGGAAACAAATAGGGTGCTATGTTGGCAGTTTGAACGGCGGTAAGAATCCTGTAGATCCCTGCACAAAAATATGAATCGGGATTCTAATTGAATTAGATTACCACGACATGCAGATGCGAGACCCCGAGCAAAGAATGGCGGGTCATGCGGTGGGCACAGGTCGCGCCATACTGAGCAACAGAATTAGCCACTTTTTCAACCTGCAAGGATCCAGGTGAGTCTTCCAACACAGGGTGGGAGGAGTCATCATCTACTTGACCGTAACTAATATCGGCGTCTTTTCATAGCTTCACAATTGATACAGCGTGCTCTAGCGGCCTTGTGGGCGTAGATGTAGCCTGCAAGAATCTACGCGCGGGGACATTGACCGGAGCAGTCGTGGCAGGTGTCAATCTGTGGCTATCGCCAGAACACACTGAAGAAAGGGGCACCATGCGGGCAGCGTACTCAGCTAGTGGCAAATGCCACACCTTTGATGCTAAAGCTGATGGTTACTGCCGAGCCGAGGCGGTTAATGCTGTGTACCTGAAGCGTCTATCCGATGCTGTAAGGGACGGCGACCCTATCCGTGCATTGATTCGGGGAACAGCGAGCAATAGTGATGGGTGGACTCCGGGGATCAATAGCCCTAGTTCCGAAGCTCAAGCGGCGATGATTCGCGAAGCTTATAAAGATGCCGGTATCGACAGGAGCGAATACGCCGAGACGGGATACCTCGAGTGCCATGGCACTGGTACACCAGCGGGTGATCCTATTGAAGTGAAAGGCGCTGCGTCAGTGCTGGCTCAAATGCGCCCACAAACGATCCCCTTGATTATCGGATCGGTGAAAAGCAACATTGGACACTCGGAGCCAGGAGCGGGACTCTCGGGACTCATCAAGGCAATGTTGGCTGTCGAGGAGGGCAAAATCCCCGGAAATCCCACGTTCTTCAACCCAAATCCCGCCATCGACTTTGATGACCTTCGGGTACGTGCCACACGCGTAGGCATTCCGTGGCCCAAAGAATCGAACCACTACAGACGTGCAAGTGTCAACTCTTTTGGCTTTGGAGGCTCCAATGCCCATGCCATACTAGACAACGTGGATCACTACCTTGCAAAATATTTGACCTCGCTCAAGATATCCAGACCTCACGTTAGCTCGTATATCAATATGTCTGACATGCTGTCCTTGTTTGACGGCCTGCGGTCATCCAAAACGGTCACTCAGCGTCCCCAAGTACTGGTTTTCTCGGCCAATGATATGGATTCATTAAAACGCCAAATAGCAACACTTTCAGCCCATCTTCTCAATCCTCGAGTCAAAGTCAAGCTTTCAGATCTCAGCTATACACTCTCGGAGCGGCGATCTCGCCATTTTTGCCGTGCGTTCTTGCTCAGCTACCCAACAAAGAGTGGACATGCCAGTAAGATCGCAGTGGACGAGGCCCAGTTTTCCAAGACACCGCAAGAGGCAACAAGAATCGGCTTCGTGTTCACGGGCCAAGGCGCGCAGTGGTCACAAATGGGGCTGGAGCTAGTCAGAGCGTTCCCAGAGATAGCTAAGCCCGTCCTCGAGCAGTTGGACAGAGTGCTACAGCAATTGCCAGTAGGCGTCAAGCCAGAGTGGTCGCTGGTGGAAGAGCTAACAGAAGCCCGATCCTCCGAGCACCTTAGCGAGCCAGAATTCTCCCAACCTCTGGTGACAGCGCTACAGCTGGCACAACTGGCCGTACTGGAGTCCTGGAATGTGAGACCAGAAGCCGTGATAGGTCACTCTTCTGGTGAGATAGCAGCTGCGTGCAGCGCAGGACTCATCACGCCCAGGCAGGCCATTCTGAACGCGTACTTCCGCGGACTAGCAGGTAAAAGGGCTTTGGCAACTAGTCCGAAGGGCATGATGGCTGTTGGGCTGAGCGCAAAGGACGTCCAACCGTACATCGAGGCCCTCGATACCGCCAGAGGAGATGTGGTAATCGCTTGCTACAACAGCCCTGCTAGTGTCACACTCTCTGGGTCTGCCTCCACATTAGCGGAACTGGAAGGGGCCATCAAGGCAGCTGGACACTTTGCCCGAATGCTGCGAGTTGAGGTGGCGTACCACTCGCATCATATGACCAAGATAGCCAACCGCTACGAACAGCTGCTTAATGAGCACGGGGAGCTTGAAGATGGCGGCAAAGGCATTATGAGCTCGATTCATATGATCTCAACTGTTACTGAGAGTGAGGTTACGGGAGCTCAAGTCGGTAAAGCTGCATATTGGAAAGCGAACATGCTATCGCCTGTCCGATTCGATGGGGCTTGCAACAAGATGTTAGCAACGACGAAGCCCGCTCCCAATTTCCTCATAGAACTTGGACCAAGCAACACGCTGGCAGGGCCAGTCACCCAGATTGCCAAAGCAGCCAAGGTCGACCACCTCACCTATACTGCAGCGAATAAGCGTGGCCAAGAGGAGAGCTGCCGCGCGATTTTCGACGTTGCAGGCAACCTGTTCCTGCAGAATGCTGACTTCTCGCTTGACAAGGTGAACATCCGCGAATCTACACCGGATAAGGTGAAGCCCGCAGTAATCATCGACCTGCCCAACTATGAGTGGAAACATTCTACCCACTACTGGCACGAGAGTTTGGCTAGCAAAGACTGGAGGTTCAAGAAATTCCCAGCCCATGACTTGCTTGGTAGCAAAGTCCTTGGAACGCTGTGGCAGAGCCCTTCCTGGCACCGAATGCTCCGTCTGTCCGATGTGCCCTGGCTGCGGGACCACCGGATTGGATCAGAAATACTCTTTCCCGCTGCTGGCTATATTACCATGGCCATGGAGGCTGTTCGCCAAACCGCTCTGTCGACTGCGTCAGACGAAGATCGGGATGCCCTGAAGACGAGGCGTTACCGGTACTGCCTTCGGGATGTCCAATTTCCTCGAGGATTAGTGCTTGAGGATGACGTTGAGGTCCATATCATGCTATTACTAGTACCCATGGCAAAGCTAGGACAGGGATGGTGGGAATACAAAATCACATCCCTAGCAGAATCGGATTCAATAGCATCATCATCATCGTCAACCCTGTCACCCGAGAAATGGAACATTAATTCCACCGGGTTGGTTCGACTGGAGACCAATCCGGATGCATCATTTTCTCGAGCACCAGAGGGCATCTGCAGCCTGCCTTTGGATAACCCGACGCCTGGCCAGCTGTGGTACAAGTCTCTCAGAGACGCCGGATACCTCTATGGTCCCGACTTCCAGAAACTGGTAGCAGTCGAGGGCACGGAGGGGAAGTCAAGCTCGCGCTCTCTTATCTCTTTGGAGCCGCCCCGATCCAAGTGGGAGCCGCAGTCCGAGTACCCACTACACCCGGCTCCTCTAGACAGTGTCCTACAAAGCATGTTCCCCTCGCTTCATCGCGGAAATCGCAGTACGCTAGACAGGCTACTCGTTCCCAGGGGTATCAGTGAACTCACTGTCTCTGGTCACATCTGGAAGTCCGCAGAGGCCGTATCTGTGACCACATGGAACAATGTGTCGGGAGACGCGTCTTTGTACGATCCTGCCAGTGGATCCCTAATCATGCAGCTCAACCGCGTGTCATTTTCCCCCTTGCTGGATGGTCGAGAAAGCGTTTACATGTCACATATATATAGTCAGTTGACGTGGAAGCCAGATTTCCAACTTCTTGATACAGACGAGAAGCTCCAACAAGCACTGTCCGGTGTTGATGACAATGCTGAGTGCCATGTACAGGAGATCCTCGATTTGGCAGCTCACAAGGCCCCAAATTTGAGGGTTCTCGAGTTCAACCTCTTGTCCGAAAGTATGGACTCTCTGTGGCTTGCCGGAGATCCAACACCGCGTCCGGTTCGAACTGCCCTTACCGAATTCCACTTTGCTGCCAACAGCGCAGACACTGCGCTCGCCGCCCAAGAGAAATATGCAGATTGGCCAGCGGCGCGAATTGCCCGCTTCAGTGTGCTTGATCCATTCAGCAAATCCTTTACTGTACCAGCAGGGAGTTCCAAGTTTGATCTTGTGGTGATCAGGTGGTCTCGACATAGAAACACCGGCGAGCTCGAGACCCTTGCGGGCAACTTGCGCCGTATCACTTCCGAGGGCGGCAGTGTGGTATTCTACGATCCCGAACAGTCCAGTCCGTTAGAGGGTAAAGGTTTGATGAACGGAAATAGCTTTTTTCACCCTGCACTGCAACGCTGTGGTCTCACCAAGGTTCGCCAGACGATGGGTGGGAGTTGCATCGTTGCAGAGGTCAGCCCCGAACAGACACCTTCACTCAACGACTATGCTAGGGCGGTTGTTGTGCGTTTCTCATCGGAGCGAGCCCCTTTAGTCAATCAAACCATTTCACAGGTTGGAGAACTTGGCTGGAGCTTGACTGAGATCTGCATCAATGATGAATCCGGCCATGGGCTTTCGAAACTTCCGCCCAAATCAAATGTGCTTGTTCTCGACGAGTTGGCTCAGCCTTTGCTTGCCACAGCAACAGAAAATGAATGGGCCGCTGTCCAGGAGATAATACACAGAGAGTGTAACTTGGTTTGGGTGACCCAGGGCTCGCAAATCAAGCCTAATGTGCCGCTCAAGGCCGTTGCCCATGGTATTTTTCGTACTGTCCGCGCCGAGGTACCCATGATTCGCATTGTGACTCTGGATGTTGCGTCAGCTACAACGGAGAGTCTGAGCACAAACGCGTCTGCCATCAGTATGGCTTTAAAGGAGATAACCTCAGTGGATACATCTCATCCAGTTGAGTGCGAGATTGCTGAAAGAGGCGGTCTGTTGCACGTCAGCAGGGTATGGCCGGATGCTGGGGTGAATAAACGCAAGGTGGAAGACAGCGGAGGAGGCCCGTCACCTGTGATGACCGATCTCCATGACTCAAAGTCTACCATTCGCTTGGTTACAAGTAGACCTGGTAGTTTGGAAGCGCTACATTTCGCGGAGCAAGCTCTAGGTGGGCCTGCAGGTCAAGTGATGGGAGCGGATGAGATCGAGGTCGAGATATTCGCCTCTGCTTGCAACACCAGAGACGTGGATGTGGCTATGGGCCATATCTCTGAGTCCTCGTATGCACTCGGCTTAGAGGGTGCTGGCGTGGTCGTCCGCGTAGGCGGCTCCGTCAGCAGTCGCTATGTCGGTCAGCGAGTAGCAGTGTTTGGTAGAGGCTGTTTTGCCAACCGAGTCACCGTCTCATGCAAGACTACCTTTCCCTTGCCTGATGATATGTCATTTGAGGAGGCTGCAACGCTACCAGTCGCATTTCTCACCGGTTTATACGCACTTGGTCGTCTCGCACATGTACAGGGGGACGACCGTGTCTTGGTCCATTCAGCTTTTACAGATGTCGGGATCGCGTGCGTCCGACTCTGTCAACGTTCGGGTTATGATACTTTCGCGACGGTGGGCAATCTGGAGCAGCGCGATTTTCTGGCTCAGGAGCTTGGACTGCCAAAAGATCATATCTTCATGTCAGAGCCATCAGCATTTCCTCGCGCGCTACATGACGCCACCAAGGGCCATGGACTGGATGTTATTATCAGTCAGCCTACAAATGGCAATCTGGACTATGAGAACGCGCGGTTACTTGCCCCTGGCGGACGACTTATAATGATAACAAACGGAGGCGCCGATATTGGCAATTTGCTGTCGACAGGATCACTCGCTCCCAACTGTTCTTTCCAGAGTTTGGATATAACATCTTTACCAGAGAGAACCATCCAATCGTAAGTGAACTGACAGTCCTATAATGGCTTACCTTTCATTCAGTGTTGGTACTCATATTTGCAGTGCGTTCTCCGAGCTGTCTCAGCTCATCGCAGATGTCAATGTGCCACCCCTGTTACCCAGAACACTTTTGAGTTATGAAGCGATACCAAAGGCGCTTCGACTTCTTCGAGAAGGCACTCACATTGGGAAGATCGTTATTTCAGACGACCGTGGCACGAAACTTGCAGTTCCGGTAAGAGTTCGAGCATGAATTGAACTGAGTCAGTTTCTAACATTTCTAGACACGACCTGCAACGACGTTGGCACAGAGTATTCTTCACCCTGATTACTGTTATTTCTTTGTGGGAGGTTTGAAAGGTATCTGTGGCAGTCTGGCCATCCATTTGGCCTACCAGGGGGCCAGGCACATTGCCGTCATGTCCCGCAGTGGGTATGGAGACAAGGTATCTCAGGGCGTCGCTCGAAACATAAGAGCACTGGGGTGTTCTCTTGAACTGCTTCAAGGCGACGTCACTCGTATCAGCGACGTCAGGCGGGCTTTCAGCCAAGTGTCGGTTCCCGTTGGTGGAATCATCCAAGGAGCCGCCGTATTCAGAGTAAGACACTCTGCCATAGCCATTCTTCGTTATTCAATCCGTACTGACCCAACAACTCTCAGGATCGGACGTTTGAATCCATGTCTCACGCTGACTACCACGCTGCTTTATCGAGCAAGGTGACGGGCACGTCCAACCTACATACTGTCTCTCTAGAAACGAAACAGCCGATCTCATTCTTCATCATGCTGTCTTCCATCTCTGGTGTGATAGGTCAAAAGGGACAAGCCAACTACGCTGGTGGTAATGCATTCGAAGACGCCTTTGCAGAGTATCGGCGCGCATTGGGACTGCCCGCTATTAGCATCAATCTCGGACCTATAGAAGACGTCGGTGTCATTCACGGTAACGAAGACCTACAGAACCGGTTTGACGGAAGCACGCTGCTTAGCATCAATGAGGGTTTGCTGCGCCGAATCTTCGACTACTCTATCCTTCAGCAGCATCCAGATCCACATCAACGTCTGAACCTCACCAGTCAAGGCCAAATGATTACCAGTCTACTTGTTCCTCAGCCTGAAGACAGCGATCTGCTCAGCGATATCCGCTTTAAGGGCTTGCGAGTCCTGGGAGCGGATGGTCCCCGTTCACGAGGGGACCAAAGCAAAGATAGAGAGATACAGAGCCTCTTGTTTCTGGCCCAATCCCAGGGTCCCGATCGTGCAGCCGTGCGAGCGGCAGCTATCACAGTTGTGGGTGCGCGGTTGGCCAAGCAGCTTCGTTTAACTGATGCGCTAGACTCGGCACGTCCCTTGTCGTACTACGGTTTAGACTCGCTGGCGGCTGTAGAGCTACGTAACTGGGTGCGTATGACATTGGGGATAGAGCTCACCACATTGGATGTCATGAACGCGGCCAGCTTGGGAGAATTGTGTGATAAGGTTATCGGGAAACTGGGAGTTGCCATGTAGTTTAATGGTTCCTGGTGATTATTCCAACGTGTGTAGGAGGCCGGCCTGCTAGTCTCCTCATCCGGTTGGATGATTGCTTGCAGGATATCTGTTTGAAACTTGGTTGCCAGGATGAATTACATTGATGCCCAGTCAGTCGTCCGTCGCCCGCGAGGTGTAAGCTGTTGATTATGGTTATAGAGACGAGGACTGCTACTTATTAAAAGCAAACAACTACAGATAACTGATCAGTACTGAAGTTGAAGGGTTCAACGAAGCTGGTTTGAAATGTAGGTTCTAAAATCTCAGAAAGCTAATTCTGGCGCCATCACCCTTATAGCTGATTCACTCTTAAATAAAACACTCAAAGATAAATGCGAGTCCACCCGATGGGAGTCCACCCGCGACGACCGAGCAAGACTGCTCTTTGCCGACTGAAGTATATTCGCCTCATGGCCGCTCCTCCTTCCCCATCTCCTTGCTCTTCGTACAGTAATATACATGTATGCAAGAATCGGTTCATCACTGCCCAGTCCGAAACTGGTATCCAACCTCCAGCTTAGTCCACAACACGGATGTACCTGTAGGGCTTGGCGGTGAAGCTACCATCCTTCCAACCAACAGGGCGCTTATACGCGACACAGCCGTAGGTGCCACGGCATTCAAGGGTATTGTACTCCTTCTTGGAGCTGTCGGCCCACGAAAGGAACAGAGTGACGTGGCCGGCCGCACCGCCAGTGCCGGGACCAAGGGTGCCAACAAGGTCACCAGGCTTGAGGTCGTCCCATGAGATAGGCTTGGCGATCTCCGGGAGACTGACAGTGCTGTAGCCTGGCGAATTCGCATGGAGAGCCATGCTGACGAAACCCGAGCAGTCCGTGCGGTATTTGCGGCCATTAGGGTCCGGGTATACCTTGTTCATCGAGTATGGGATGTGGCGGGAGACCCAGTACTGACCGCGGGAGATGATCTCCTTGCGAGTGATCTTGCCGTTGTAGTCCGAGTTGCCGTCACCGGGGCTGCCACCGCCACACTCCTTGGTGACCATGCTGCTGGAGCCGGTCTTGACGTAGTAGTCGGTAACGTAGCAGCCATCAGTTGTTTTGTCCCAGATGTTGTTGCCCTTAACGTCTTCACCATATGTCTGGCATGTGAGCTTGACATCGGCCCCCTTTTCGTATGACTTGACAACCTTGTCATTCGTCGATGGACCGGTACGGCAGTTGACTCCGTCGCCCGTGATGGCGTACGCGTTGACCATGGAGGCAGCCGCAGCCAGGGTCAGTGCCACGAGTTTGAACTGCATAATGGCGAATAAAGCGAGGCAGGCAGATTCTTCGTATGGGAGGGCTTTCAAGAGGTGTCGCTGTGTTTCTGAGGATGCGCTTCCTTTTGATGGCGCGTTTGTGGATGAGAGTCTGAAATGACACAGGTAACGGCAGGAAGTCTGGCTGGCTTTATACTTGTAGTCCAAACGTTGCGCATCAGGCCGCATCAGGATACTAAACTGTTTGTGTCGTGCTTCTATCCTCGCCCGATGCTGATCTTGTTCAGATTGAGCACCATGAACACGAACGATCATCGCCGGGGCCAATTTGCCCGAAATGCTGAAACCTTATTTACGGGGAGTTGAGCAAGCCTTTCACACCACCCATGCGTTGCAAATGACCGACACGGCCAAAATGCGATTGATTGAACTGAGCTGGTTGTATCAGGACTCGCATCTTAATCTGCGAGAGCTCGTAAATAGGCTTTTTGGTCGTATTATCTTATTATATCCGACTAATACGAGAGAGATCTCGTTTCTTGCGGGAAGTTAACATCTGCATCCACCAGCCGCCAGCCACTGACCTTCAGTTGCTTGATGCATTGGCAGACAACATTAAGATTATTCCCTTTCAGACAATCACACAGCATACTGTTTATCCCATTTTCTTTTCATTTTTATTTTATTGTATTTTATTTTATTTTTTCCCCTTTGGCTAAATGCCGTGGTCGCACTCTGTACCGACGTAATTCGAAAGGGGACCCTTTGATGGTCCTAAATCAAATTTGGCCAGTTTGACCTGCAGAAGGACACAGGAACATCACACGCTTCCATCAATCCTACCCCAAGTGGTGATCTATATCAAACACACGGCCGAATACGGATACGATGTGGAGCCGAGGTTGCTGGATACGCTGCCAAAAATAGCCTGATTGCTCCACTTGGGCCGCCCTTTATACGAGTCGCAGGGACGATCGGCAGGGTTCATCGCAAAATGAAGCTAATCTCGGTGACAAGCGAACACGATATTGCTTGGCAGGGGAGCATGGTCAACAATCCACTTCCCCATGAAAAGCATGCTGGGGTACCTGCATAATCCAATGTGTTCTGCATAGAACTCGAGGCTACCATTGGTAGTTTGACAGGCCAAATGTGGCGAAGCAGTATGGCAGCTACTATGGCTATAAATAGCTGTATCTGCTCCCATCAACGGCTTGGCCTATCATCACGCTGTGTATCTTAGCTCCAAGTTCGAACAATATTCGATTAGGGTTACTGCAAGTATCCATCCATCCATCCTGCTCACAATGTTCTCTCTGTTTCAGCTGCCAGTGATCATAGAAAATAACCCCTTGAGCAGATCGTCTCTAGATCTTAAGAACCCGCATGGGTTTCAGGGAGGCATGAATTGTTTGGCAGTCAGTTCTCCGTTCCTTTGTCATTGGAAGGAGATTAATTTAATGTATAATGTATAGGAGATACTTGAACCCCCGGAGTTAAAGGCCCCAAGGATATAGACACCCAATTTTCATCGTCTCCGGCATAGGAAGATGGAGACTGGGTAAAGATACTGGAGTAGGGCCAGACAAAGTATGGGAGAGAAGACCACTATCCATTCTTCTGTTGGATAGTTGCTCCTCCCTTACTTGGCGTCGATGAAGGAAAGCACAGCCGTAAGACAAGCACACTATGTTCGCTACTCAAAATTCCAGTCAGCCTTGGACAGCCCCCATTCCGCGCACAGCGTCCCCAGCCATTTTGAAACAGAGACCAACTCCTCGCCCCCATCGTCAGTCTTCATGGCAACTAACCCTTTAGACGCATGTAGATACTTCTCCAGCGTCCACGGCGGTAACTCGTACCAGTCGTGTGTACTGCTGCATACAAAAGCCTTGCCTGTGTCGCCTGATCGTAGCTCATCCCAGCAAGCATTGCAGAGGTTCACATTGTAGCAATACTTGCAGGCATGGAAGCCATCGTCATAGTCCCAGAACCGATTGCAGTTATTGCAACCGAGAGCCCAGTCAATCCCTCTCTCGTGTTTTCCAAGAATCTTTTCGACCCTATGGTAGCAGGCGACCCTCTCACTATCAACATCTGGTTCGGATGCTAATCTGCTGGCTTCTCCCCAGACCTTATTAAGATTTTTCCAGTGCGCGTCTTTGTCCAGACACTCCCTTTCATAGAACTCGAGGAGTTCTGCGCTGACTGCTTCCAGAGAGGGCTCCTCTCCGGCAAGAAGTTCCTTGAGGACTACGCCATCGAACCGCAATTCCGGAAGCAGCAATGCAGCTCGCAGTGCATTCTCATAATCTCCAGTGCGGTTCAGAAGGTTGTGAAGCGCGGTGAATCCGTCTGAATCATTGAAGATATCATCGTCAACCAGAATGTTGAATGCCTCTACTATATCAGCGCGGAAGATGTCACGAGCCTTATCCCTCTGTCCCTTGAACGTGTATAGTGATGCAAGCGCCGACTTGGGGCCTTGGGCAGCAGGGTCATCCTTGTAAATCTGCCGTAATCTCTCTGCGTCTGCCTCTGACTCCTCTCCGTCCGTTTGCACGGCCCTGTCGAGGTAGAACATGCTGAGGCGGTCCACCGCACTTTGTTTGATGAAATTAAGCCGATCTCGGTCTTCCGAAGCGACCTTCTCCCGAATTGTGTCCAAACACTCACGCAGATTGCCTGCGGCGATGGCTAATTGCTCAGGAGAGTTCTTGTGGAGATAGTACCCAGCACTGCCCTGCTGCAATAACAGAATTGCAAGCTCCTCGTTCTTGCCTTCTGTCCGCGCAGTCGCAATCGCCACCTCCATCTCATGTTGGAAGACTGCCCACAGTTCCGGGTAAGAAGAGACGACTGAGAAGACTGCTTTGAATACGGACAACATGTAACTCTCGTTCTGCCGGCTCAGAGCCGTTGTCAGCATAGCCATCAACAAGGTAGACTGCGTGCCAGGGATTCTCTTGGTAACAGCTTTCTGGATGATGGACTGCGCCTCGTCCTCTTCTTTGCTGGCAACATACAGCTGGAGCATCGCATAAAGGATTTCTACGTTTCCGTCATCCAGTTTGGAGGCTTCTTTTAGATATTCCAAGGCATGTTCTGTTTCGGTCGCCCATTCACCGAGAGCTTTGAACACATCTCGCAGCTGCTCGTTGTTGACGGGGTCTTGAGCTTGGAGAATTGCGGCAGCCTGTCGTTCCTGGTTAGAAAAGAGCCTGTTCGGCGCAGAGTGAGAGCCTTTTCATACCTTCTTGTACTGCTCGGTCGCAGCGTCACGCTCACTCAGGGTAGCATAGGTGTCACCTAATCGGATGAACCATATGGAGTCCGCTTCGGTGACTTTCAAGGACTGCTTGCACCACTGCTCTGCTTTGGCGACCTTTTCCAAGTCGGAGTCATTGTCATTTATGATGATTCGCCCGTCGCCATCCTCCGAGTTATCAACCTCCTCAGCCACACCGACTTGATCATCCTGCCCTGGTTTTGCGCCCTGCATTCAGAGATTGACACGGATTAGGCACAGGGAGCGATCAACAGGATCCAACAACTACGTACCAAAGTGAGGAATCCGCTGATCCATCGAAATGCGTCATAGGCGGTCCATTCGGTTTTTTGCAGCCAATTTCGAGCAACCACGGTCATGATCGGGGTCAACAGACTGGAGTTGCGATGTCCGTCTTTCTTTAAATCTGCCAGCCATCGTTTGTCCCGAGGTCCTAGGCCAGCGATCGCCACGGGGTCATCCAGCCACCTCCAGAAGATCTCCATATCCTCATTATGCCGGTACCAGGCTACCGGGTAGCAGAATTCCCAATTCCGCTCGATGAGATCACCCTCGTTGAACATCTCGTAGACATGCGATCCAATGAATTGCTTATCTGCGGGCTGAAGCTCGTCTAACCCAGTTACCTCCGACAGCGCTTTGAGATGGGTTGTGATAGAGCGCATCAGGTACCACCCCAGTGCCTTCCCCCTTTCGTCGACCACCGGCTGTAGAAAGAGATCGAAGGCCCTTTTGACAATCTCGAGGTGAGCATCAGCTTCGTACACCTGGATCTTCCGCTGGCCTGCGTTGGTCTGATCGGATGCTGGCTCAAACGCAAATCCACCTAGGAAGGAGTAGTGGTTCAAGTCCCAGAAGAAGCGCTGAACCAGCCTGAGATCTCCATTGGTGATGCTGATCGTGGCCGTGATCTTCGGGTCATCCGCGGACTGTCTAGGCCTGTCTCGTTGGGCAACAACGCAGTCTCGAACATGATCTTTGAGTGCCAGGTATCTCCCGCCGTAGGCCAAGGTAAAGATCTTGGAGTATTTCCCGGTGATCTTTTTGTCGAGTGGCTGGAGTGAGACGGTCTTGAAACGGAGGAACAAGGCCGCTGCCAGTTCCTCCAGAATCATCATTACATCTCCAGCCACCGCCCAGATCAGAAGCTCATTGATTTCCTCAATCTCCCGGGGCTTGAGCACCGCTTCCAAACCTTCGATTTCCGATCGCATTAGCACCTGTGGATCCGTGATCGACTCATGCAACACCCGGTTGAGCTCTTCCTCCGTGCCGCCCGAGGCGATGATCTCTTCGACCTTGCGGAGATCTTGCTGAATTGTAGCATAGGAATTGTTGGATCGCGCCAAGAGTCGTTCCTCGACCATCCTTTTCCGTCGCAGCGAGTCCTCGTCTGCTCCCTGGAAGATACCGGCGCGCTTCAGCTCCCCAACAAGGAATGCTTTGATGTCAATCTTGTTGTATTTCGTAATGTCGATAGTCTTCGCCGGAGAAGAGAGGAGCTGTTGTAACCCCCTGAATGCTCCTGGCTCGCCGCTGACAAGCACTCGGACGCGGTTAGACCTGCTTTGGTTGCTTTGTTGAATCGCCCTCAGAAGCCGCTCACGGTCTTCCATGCTGAGGGTGCTGACCGAGTCGAGTAGGATGTAATGCGTCATATTTTTGCTCGGCATTCCTATTCCCAACGAGGCCCAGAGGTCCGTACAGCTGGCATCTCTGAAGTACTTCTCGCTCTTCCCTGGCTCGCCGCACGCACTAGAAACACGCCTCGCGTAGACTAAGTCCTGCTCTGCCAGCTGGACACAGATAGACTTGATCGCTGCCTCTGGTCGTTGTCTGTCGCCCTCTCTGTCTCTGTTCTCTACCATGGAGAAGGAATAGTACCCAATCAAGCTGCGCTCAACTTTTGTGGCCAAGTTTGCAGATTTGATTTCTTGGGCAATCGCGGAGACAAGAAAGGACTTGCCGGTTCCGGGTTCACCAGTCAGCACGAGTAGGGAATCCGCTGCACTGCTTCTATCGATCCACTGCTTGTATGCATCGATTTCGTTCAACCATTTCCCGCTATCCTTAACAGCGCCCTCCCACATCGTATCACGGGCCCCGAGAACCGCGGCTATTTTCTCGTCCTTCTGCCCAAGGTTGGTTTTTATAGTACTCAGAATTTGCTTCCGGTTGTCATCCAATGTGCGCTTGTGCTCTGCCTCCACGAGCCCGGATACGTCGTTCTTGATGGCCTTGGTGTTTGTGTCAATCTCGAGTGTGGTGGCCTTCATAAACCTGACGTGCTGGCCGGTTTCCACCGCCACCTCGAGGGTCAGAGTCGCTTGGATGTTCAGCTGGTCCTGAGTGAGCTTCTTGAAGTTTGCCAACTCGTTCTGCACAGACCCATCGTCCAAGAGGATACGTTTGGCGTTGCGCTTGAAGCTCTTCCATCGGCCCTCATGATGGATATTAATGCAGTCGGCACATAGGTTCACAAAACTCGTCATAACCTGGTAGATGGACAGTCGCAGAGCCTCGTCAATCTCCGAGCTTTCCTCCATCCGCTCGTATATCCGAAACTGTGCAAGGGCCGGTCCAACCTCTGCAAAGATGGCGTCGATCTCGCCATGGAACTCATGGACCTTTTTGGGAATATCCAAAAGGAAAGAAAGAGCGTTGAAACACAGTCCTGCCGGGGCGAAAACCTTGGAAGTCCAGATCAGCGTCCCTGCCTCCGGTCTCAGATTGTATGCAATGGAATATTATTACGCCTTACCATGGACGCACCCTGCGACGCAATACCACCCAGGAGCTGGATACAGTGTATCATTTGGAACCCCACCGCTTTAGCCTTCGAAACACTCTCATCGTCCGCTTGTGCGGCATAATGCGCGTCGAGGAGCCTTCGCAGATCCTCAGGTCCCCTGGAGACACCATCGAGCTTTTGGCCCGTGCGCTCCTGGAAGCGAACGATGGTCTTCTCCCAGATCTCCTTTACGGACGCGGGGCCACTTTCCTGCTTAGGCGCCGAGATCATCGTGTACTTTGAGACTTGGAGATCCAGGATTTTCTTTTCTGCGGGCGCTTCTTGAGCCCCTGGTGCTATTCACGTCGGGTCAGGTCTGTCCTTTATGCGCAATGGGCTGACCTCCATCATTCAGCCGCCTGCACAAATTAGGCTATCATGTCTACCCCTCCCACACGAAGCTCACGATCCCGCAGCTGTCCTGGCGTGGGGCTGACAGAGCTGAAGCTCGAGCCAATCACAGCTGCGGTCTCGCGGAAAATTGAATGTCATTTGCTGCGGCATGGTGAGGCTGGCTGGAAGTAAGCAGCCTTCAAGAATAAAGCATTTGTAATCGCAGAGCTCTGTCAGACGGAGCTCCTCTTCTACATTGGATGAATGTATGCGGGTAGTGGGGGGGGGGTAGCTCTGTGCTTTTGGGAGGGTCTCGGATACTCTGGGCATTTAATTCCCAGATGTCTAGCTGACCACAAACCTAACTTCCGAGTAGAAAAGGTGATGTATGCATAGCTATTGAAAGCTGCTCGATGAGTCCATTGATTGTACATCGGACTATAGCAACAAATACAATGTGGACTTTAAGAGTTTTTACTATTGACTGCATGTATTATCTTACTGCTACTACCTCCACAGATAGCGGCATACTCATATACTAAGGATATCAAATACAGTGTTATTAGTAAATCATCAACTAGGAGAGATAAATACTATAGTATTATTCATATTATTATTAAATCCTTATATACCAAGGCTTTGCCCTGTATAGTCAGAATTTATATGTGTAGAAGTTATACCACAAGTCGAAGATCTCGGCACCATCTATCTAGACGAGACTGCATATGTCGAAAAACGTGTCGCGGTCCCTGCTTAAGAAATGGGCAGGCGTCGAGGTGGAAACGCCGTCTTTCAACGGGCGAAAAAAGCCACTGCACTCCGAGGATCTGTGCGGAGGCTGCAAGGTGGGTGACTGTCAGTTCGCTCCCTGAGGCTGTTGGAATTGATGTATTGTGGCTCTCAGAATGGTCGAACTGTAAAGTTGACTTTTCCAGCTTTCAAGTCTATGCTTTCGCTACTACATACAAAGTGATTTTTCCAAGTAGAGGTATATCACGACATCATTATCTTAGCAGTAACAACAAGCAGCCACATTATCGTGGAGCCCATAGGAACGGTAAATACGGTCTTCACAACGGCTATCTTTTTTCAGATTAAACATCTTCGTAGCACCTGAAACTGTATAGTATAGTTTTCCACAAAGCACGCAAATTAGACACCGTGACATGGGTGAGGAGAAAGTATGTGATCAGGGCCCTCTTAAGGCTGTCGCTTGTCGCATTCTGACGGCCAATCCAAGCTTTCGGGTCCTCTATCTTTTCTGTTTGCCAGACCCTCTGATGTGCATCGCTGAGTCTCGCGAAAAGGGCTCAGTTGTCCCCGAATGTAGAGAATGAAGCTTCGTACTTGGATGCTTCCTCCTCGATAAGCGACGCGTGTCTGGCACTGCGAACGGTGGCCTTCACAGGGAATGGCTCATCGAGGGATTGGTGGTTGAGTCTCTCATCGTCAATAGGCCCGCTCTAGACGTCTCATATGTTAGCGACTCGTCACTCTTCTCCAAGATGAGGAATCGAAGGCAAACGGGAACGAACCGGACTCAATTCGAAACAATAAAGCAAACGGGCAAACGCAATGAACAGAGCTTGCTCCGCGACTCTCCAGCCGACGCAGATTCGACGGCCGCCCCCAAATCCCCAAAAGTTGGGTATCTTGTCTGCTCCTGAACCGTCAATCCATCTCTCGGGCCGAAATTCATGGGCATTGTCAAACTCGCTCGACAATCCGATTGAGTTGATCAGGAAGCTTGTGCCGGCAGGAATGAAGTACCCATCAAACTCCAGGTCCTCGGTGAGTTGGTGGGGTGGAACAACGGGGACCGTCGGTCGCCAGCGTAGAACCTCTTTGATCATGGCGGCTACGTAGGGCATTGCCGGCAGATCAGACATCCGGGGAAGCCTGAGCGATTCGCCATCCGTGCACACTCGATCGATTTCCTCGCGTGCCCGTGCCTGGGCTTCGGGACGCGTGGCCATGGCCATTATAAACACGTTAATCGTCATGCGTGTGTTGTCACCGCCGGCTGCCATAACAGACGTAGCCAGGTACATGGCCTCTTCATCGTCCCCCGAGTACCTCATATCTGGATGAAGAAGAACGTCGCGGACGAATGAGGGAGGTGCCGAGCCGTTACTCACGGCAGTTTTGATGGGCTTCCACCATTCCTGGAAGACATAGCGGTGGAACGAGCCCATCTCAGCCCAGAAACGCCGCCAAGGCTGTAAGAAATGAGGGAGTTTGCTAAGCGAAGGGAAGAAATCCACGTAGCTCCGGTTGATGCTCATGACAAACTCGATTGTTACCCTCTGATAATCGTCGAGCTCCGCTTTGGTCTTGTTCAGGGGGTAACCCATAACGATCCTGTAAAGCACGGATGTGGCATAGCGATAGTTGTGAGCATACCACAGGTTGGGCTCCCGAAGATATCGGCGCAGCATGTCCACGCTCTCGAGCTCCTGCATGCCGGCGTAGACCTTGAGATGCGAGCCGCTGAGCAACTGGTGCATCACACGGCGTCCCTCCCGCCATTCTTCTTCTTGCCGTATCACTGTACGCTTTCCGTTGCTCACAAGGCCACTTGCGATGGGCATATGGGGTCTCTCGTTTGTAATCTTCCCTCGCTTGGCGATGATTTCCGAGACGACGCGGTCCGAGTTGAGCACAACCCACGTCTTGGATCCCATGTGCAGCGTCACCATTTCGCCGTACGGTATCAAGGAGGCCAGCTGCCGGGTGTTTAGATCAACGTGCATTCTCCTGTTGGACAGGTTTGATACTCACCCACTTATTGAATGAAATGGCCCCGCGACGGCGGGCTTCCATCATCTGGTGCAAGTTTCCCAAGACCGGTACGCCCGGTGGCCCCGGTGGCATTGCCCATCTCTTTGTGCCAGGCGACCATTTCAAGTCGGTCGGTTTGAAGAACTGAACGAGCGCTATGCAGCCGCTGCATAGAAACAGAAAGAGACCCAAATAGGGGTAGTACGCGCTCTCGATTGGGTACATGCTGGCAGTCAATGGTTAAGAGACAAGATGGATTTGGTAGCTCTGCTGCTTTTCGGGGTATTAAGAAGAAGGAAATTCCTAGGTGTCATTCTCGCATGATATCGCTCGAGTGGGAGAGGGTCCGCCGTCGGCAAAGCGAAGAATTACCACCCTGTTCAGTGTGGGAGCTTACGTTCGGGCAGGAACTTCCGTCAGCGTATAACCGACTTGCATTATGCAGGTGAGGCCGAACAAGCACCGCAGGGCAACTTAGCATCTCAGCTCTGGGCAGCCTTGACGTAGCTGGCTTGCATCCTAAGTCCATTGCTTCTCAGCGGCTTCTTACGGACAATGCTATATACTGAGAGTTACCTCAAATCTCCCTTGGCGTACCACATGCATATTCCTTTATACATGGGCTATCGGAGGTAGCAGGGCTATCAGATCCACTCGTTGGCTGCATGAACGGTCCAGGCCGCTGGAACCGTTTTCCCCATGCAGCCGCAAGCCATTGGAACAAAACCAACAAAATGTAAATAGATTTTGACGTATGCCCACGCTCCGGATTCCGTCTCACTACAGTTACATTTCCTGTATATGGATTTCAATATCTATACCATACCAAGCATTCAATATCCCTACTATATCGTGATTTGATACTTATTGATTATGCAGGTATATGGGAATAATAGTCTCTGTTAGGGGTTGGTACGAACCTGGTCCCGAGATGCACATATATATAGTGCTAACCTTTAATTACCGTGGATGTTTAAAGCAAGTATATAACAACCACACATTTATCTCCTCAATATGGATTCAGTATACTAGATATAGATTGATTTAATGATATCACTATTTCACATAAGAATATGAATTTCTATAAGTATATTAGGCCCTATGCTCAAGGGAAGAGAAATTAAAATCTAAAGAACAGTGAGGTGCTCATTACTAGTAGGAAAAATGCAAAAAACATATTGTACAGAAATTATAGTTTTACGTTTTTTTCAGTTCTGTTCAATGGCTTGCCTAGCCAAGCACATGTTTCTTCGGATACCAGCCTGATTAGTGGGCTTCCCTTCCTTATCCACTTTGTTGAAATAAGATATTACTAGTATGTAGTAAAGTTTCCGAAGCACTACCTTGGTAACTTGCATGGCAGACCAACATCCAATGAAGGTCTGATTCATCCAAATGAACGACTATCTACTCCCCTTGCTATCTTCGAAATGAAGGTATTCGAACCGGTTCTGTTTATTAGAGGAATCTAATCGAACATTCTACCAAGGGTGGCAGTGCTGAGTCAAATCAGATCATATCCAAAATCGGTAAGCGGTAATATAATCTGACACAGTTGAAAGATTAAGGACGAGAACTAGGATTCATAGTTACCTTACGATGTATGTCTCATCTCACTTGCATAAGGTTTACCTCACCTGCAGAATGGCGTATGTATCTGCATTACCCATCTAGTACTTTGTGAAGCTATTCATGTAAACCATCTGTATAGCGCTTGGATACGACCATTGCACTCTTATTCTGCTTCATACAAGTGACTAGTGGATGAAGCTTACAGGAAACCCCTGTATTCGGATAATGTGTGCGTGGACGTCCAATGGGTACGCCCTCGAGAGACTCGTGTAGGTCCTGGCTGCAGCATGCGATGTAGGAGGAATCTTACCCTAGCTGCCTTAGTTGCCTGGGTACGCTCACTGACGTTGATAAGGATGGTAGGCGCTTCTGGCCAGTTGAGGATTCTTTATAAGGACCACGAATCGCTCTGTTCAAGTGGGAAGGTGCTTTCATCCATAACTCTTCATTCTTCTCACTTCTGACTGCGCGCCTCCTTCTGGATCAACATGGCCACTCCAGCACGCACGTTCACGGATTTAGTCCTATCGCAGCGGTGCCATCCTTCGTCGTCGGGCAAGGTGACGCTGCCCGTTAGTGGAAGGGACCTGACCATCGCCGACGTAGTGGCAGTCTCGAGACACCTAGCACCGGTGGAGCTCACTCCGGCGTCCATCGACGCCATCGAAGCGTGCAGCAAAATCATCCCGAAGAAGATCGCCCAGGGCGAAGTCATCTACGGCGTCAACACGGGGTTCGGCGGCAGCGCCGACGCAAGATCCAACGACGTTGAGAGGGTCCAGCAGAGCCTGATTAGCCACCTGACGTGCGGAATCGTCTCGGACGGCAAGCAGGAGCTGGCTCTGAATAGCAACGGGTACTCAAGACAAAGCAATGGGCATTCAAGCCAAAGCAATGGCCATTCGAGCCAAAGCAACGGCAAGGCCCACCCCGGCAATGGCAAATTGAATGGACAACACCGCGCCTCGGTTCGAGGTTCGCTTCCGCTTAATGACCCGCTCGCCGCTACCTGCATGCCTGAGTCGTGGGTGAGGGCGTCCATGCTTATCCGCCTGAACACCCTAGCCGGCGGTGCGTCGGGCATCCGGATCGAGATTGCGGAATCTCTGATGGACCTTCTCAACAAGGACGTCGTGCCGCGTATCCCCGTCCGTGGGAGCATCTCAGCTTCGGGGGACCTCAGCGCGCTCGCGTGGATCGGCGCCCTGATGCAAGGCAAGACGTCCGCTACGGCCTTTAGCGGCCCGCGAGACGCCGAGGGAGCCAGAAGAGTGACGAGGGCCGACGTCGCCCTGTCGGAAGCTGGCATAGCGCCCATCAGCCTGCACGCCAAGGAGGGCCTCGCCATCGTCAACGGCACGGCCGTGTCGGCCGGGGTGGCAGCTCTTGCCGCGCACGAGTCCCTCCATCTCGCGGCGCTTTCGCAGGTGCTGACGGCCATGAGCGTGGAGGCGCTACGGGGCAGCGACGAGAGCTTCGAGCCCTTCATTGCGCGGGTGCGGCCGCACCCCGGGCAGGTGGACAGCGCGCGGAATATCAAGGCGTTCCTGACCGGGTCACGGCTGCTCAACCGGCACGACAGCCGAAACGTGGCGACGCTGCGACAAGATCGCTACTCGCTGCGCACGGCCAGCCAGTGGATCGGCCCCGTGCTGGAGGACTTTGGCTTGGCGTACGACCAGCTGACGATCGAGCTCAACTCGGTGACGGACAACCCGCTGGTCGACACGGAGACGGGCCGCGTGCTCCACGGCGGCAACTTTCAGGCGCGCGCCGTCACGTCGGCGGCCGAGAAGCTGCGCCAGGGCCTCCAGAGTATCGGCCGCATGCTCTTCACCCAATGCACCGAGATGATAAACCCGGCTACCAGCTGGGGCCTGCCTCCCAATCTGTGCTCCGACGACGCCAACGACTCGTTCCTGTTCAAGGGGCTTGATGTCGTCATTGCCGCACTGACTTCGGAGCTGGGCTTCCTGGCCAACCCCGTCGGTTCGCACGTCCAGACGGCCGAGATGGGCAACCAGGCCCTCAACTCCCTGGCGCTCGTGTCGGCCCGGTACACGCTCGAGGCCGTGGACGTGCTGTCCCAGATCGCCTCGGCGCACCTTCTGGCGGTGTGTCAAGCCCTCGACTTGCGCAGCATAGAGATCGAGGGCCGGAAGGACGACACCCAGCCTGACGCGACGCCGTACATCGGCCAGGCCTCGCGACGCATGTACCACTTCATTCGGAAGGATCTGGGCATCCTGTTCCTGGGCGAGGCGCACCTGGCTTCCACTGAGGCCGCGACATCGGACGGTGTCACTCCGAGCATGGGGCTTTACAACACGCGGGTCTACGAGTCCATCAGGTCGGGACGCTTGTACAATGTCGTTCTGGACATTTTTCAAGGAGTGGAGGCGCAACGAACTACGAATGGAAAACACATATAAACGCTCCTGTCATAATTCGGCGAGTTTACTTTAGAAACACAGCACCCCTATCATTATTTTCCTGAGGTATTGATATGTGAAGAATGAGGGAGGCACACCATTTGTATATAGAGGAGGCTAGAGAAATATTTATCGTGATCTACTAGACGTCTAATCAAGACCGGAATGACAGTGGAGTGGCCGCTTAGAAAGAACAGGGGCCACGCAGCCAAACATCTCGACATAAAAGTTCAAATCTCTATAAGTGATGTCCTTGCACCTAAGACTTCGGTTATTGTATAAATGCATATACTATCTTGCTAATAAAAGCCTCGCTTGCTGCACTTGAAAAAGCTAATGCATAAGGGTTACGTTTGTATATTGCTTTCCGGGTTAAACTTCGATGCGATACCAGGGTTCACCACCTGGTAGAAACAGAGGATGCGACAGATACAACTTTCAAAGATACGATGGATTCAAAACGAAGGTATACCCAATGTCTCCGGGACTCACAAAACTGGGGGTTTCCACCCGCCTTCACCACGCGAGTATGACCACCTCCTTTCGGCGGCTCTTGAAGTTCACTTTTCGGCCACCTTGTATAGATAGCTCTCTAATAGAATCACCATGTTCCCAAATGCCCTCCCATAACCTCCTGTAGAGTAGCAAAGGCACTATGCTCCGGTTTGTTATGGATCAGTGGGTCAACTGCTACCAAGCCCTCTTACGCTGGAAGCTGATCTATCTTTGGGATGCACTGTTGGATGTAACATTTTCTAGTATATCAAAAAAGAGAAGGGGAAGAATGATTCTCATGTCCTCTAAATACGATGGCGGGGTTCAATTCCGTTTTCATGGCTCTCGGTTAAAAACCGTTTCCACGCCTCCCTACCACTTTTGGCGGCATCGTACCCCCAGAGCCACTCGAACAGTCCATAGTCCGCACCCGCACGAAGTTTCGCATCGCGCTCCTCCTGCTCCGGACCATCGGCAAGGGCAAACATGGCTTTCTGGTCCAATGTGCGACGTCGGACCTCCGAAGCTCGTGGCTTGCGAACCTGCTCAAACACCCGAAGAGCATCGGGGATTTGGTCACGCCCCACCGACTGGCTGAATATCGCTCCCAGGACGCCTGCATCCTCAAAGGCCTGCGCGGCACCCTGTGCTCTGAAGAAGGGTTAGATGGTTTGGAAATAAGCACAACGACTATAGGATCCAACACTCACAGGCATGGCAATATCGCGTGAGCAGCATCCCCAATCAATGCGAATCGTCCACTTTCATGGCGCCATTGGACCGGTTCATGGATCTGGAACAAAGTCCACTTGGTGCAAACAGACCCTTCCACGTTGATCAGCTCATGAAGTACGGGGTCCCAGTTCCAGATCTTGCTCCTGAACTCTTCTATGTCTGCTCGTTGTGGCCCGTACATAACGTTGCCGCCTGCACCCTCAGCGTATACCAGAACTACGTTGAGCATATCGTGCTGGATGGGGTACGTGACCACGTGCCCTCCTGATCCCATCCAGAAGTTGACGCTGGTCCGTCTTTTTAGGTCCCAAGCTAGGTGGTCTTTCGTTATGTCTTTGGTAGGAACAGAGATCCGGTATACGACATCGCCAGGACTGTAAGGAGGGTCCTCACGGCCCAGCAGTCTACCTCTGCAACGAGACCTCTCCCCGTCCGCACCGAGGATCAGGTCGGCTTCATAGACTTCGCCAGTAGCGAGGCGTAGGGAGGGCTTGTTGAAGTCGATTTCTTTGACTTCGCTGCCCAGTTTGATCTCTATCCCAAGCGTGCCTGTTCCCGAGAGCAAGGCTCTTAGGAGGTCGGCACGATGAATCATGAGATAAGGGGCCTCGCTCACCAGGTTCGGATGGGATACAGGCGGTGACTGCGACAGCACATCTCCTCGATAGGAGCGAAAAGTCCCGGCCTCTGGTCGGTCAGCATACTTAAGGACCTCCTCCAAGACGCCCCAGTGTTGAAGGAGACGCGTCGCATTGGGGGCTAACTGTATTCCAGCACCGATCTGTTAGGCGGCGTTAGAAAAGCTCCAAAGGGTATTCTGCAGAAAGCATGAAGTTACTTCTTGTAGTTTAGCACTACGCTCAAAAACTGTCACACGGTGACCAGCTTGAGCAAGGGCTAGTGCGGAAGCCAGTCCACTAAGACCGCAGCCGACAATGAGAACAGAGAGCACGGGTTGTGAATTACATGTATCCGCCATGTTGGAGATGATGGTGAGGGTTTCTATTATTTCTTAGGGACCTTGGAAGGGCTATGGGGCTGCCGGGGCTTTAAATATCTGGCTTAGCGTGCAGGTCCAATCTTTCCAAGAGACGATTCGCTCGGCATATCGCTGGTTTCAAGCAAGTCCATTCCGCTTATCCCGTGCTCAGGCTCCTGCAGACTCCCCCTAAACTAGAAGCCCCCCTCGTCCCGCCACCTACCAAACGGGTACAGGTAAAACTAGTAACATTTAGAACCCACTGTGGTGTAAAGTATCTGTCCCATATCTATCCACTGGAGGCGTTATCGTACCAAGGTCTATATATTGTACAATGTGACGAGTTATACAAAACTAGGAACTAACAGACAATGACTCATTACCGAAGTCAACTTATCGCGATAGCTAATGTTATTCCCATTAGCAAGGTCATCCTGGGCCCAGACAGCCTGTAATATTCTCTTACAATAGTCCAAAGATCGCGACGAGCTCATCTTCTCCGTCCTGGAGATGACATCGAGGACGACGGCCCGCTGCTCATCCGTTCGCGCCTCACAGCCAATGACGAAAATGGGAAATTGCTGTTTACAGGAGCTCAGCCGGAGGAGAATAGCGAAGGCTCTGTCGATGTGCTGTTGTGTTCTGAGGGGTTGGAGGATCAGGCCTTCGAAACTTCGGTTGAGAAACAGCAGTATAGCAAGTTGGTATAGTTGCATTACCAACGTCGCATTGTCCGAAACAGGTTCGCTCTCATCCGGGACTTTTGGTATTGATAGGCGCCTGATTCTCCAATCCAGTACTTCTAGGAAGCATTTGTAATCATTCATGTTGACGCTGGTTTCTGGTGGAATTGCGTCGCTAGATATTGTCTCGCATACTTGGGACAGCAGATTCAGCATGGAGAAAATAGGCGGCGGCAAAATGGATACCTGAAATGTTTAAATATCAGACCAACACTTCCTGTAATCATGTAGCCTTTATCGTGTACGAACCTGTGAACAGAAGAGGTCTGTTGGAGTCGACGGGAGCTGTGGGGCCCCATCTCTTTTCCAGTGTAGTAGGGAAAAACGCGCGAGAACATCGTGGTAGTGCACCCAGTCCAGCAAGGCGGCCACATCGGAGCCAAGCTGACGTAATGTTTTGGTAGAGGACGCGTTGAGGACCGTCTTGACCCCGCCGAGGTAAAACGTCCATTGGTCTGAAGTGCAAGACGACTGGTGGACCTCAAATGAACAAAGAAGCATCCCCGCCGCAATATGCTGCATGGTCGCTTGCACGCACAGATTGGGCGCTGCTAAACCTTTGGCCAAGCTTCCGAGCGCAGCGATTTTCAGCTCCAGGGCTTGGGACTGTAGGCCGTAGCGATGTAGGGAAGAAAAGGCCAGCAGCGCCTGCAGCACTGCCGCAGATCCCTGCAGGGCTATTCGAACCAGGATGTTCCCGAGGGCGGTGGCATCGTGGCCAAAGGTGGCAAGGGATGCAGACGCTACGCAGCAAACTACAGGTGGTGTACACAAGCTGTTAGCCCTCCCTGTCCTGATTTAGCCGGTAGGTAACCATGCTAGATTGTACGACGTACAGTAGTCTAACAGGTCTCGGTCAAGAGCCTCCAGCTTAGATGGGTTCCAGAAAATGGGGACACTGAGTAAGGAGAGATTGCGCACCGGAACAGAGCTTGTCAAGCTGTGATGCAATTCAATATCCCAATTCGACGTGTGGACAAAGCGTGCATCGGAGATCTGGCCAGCCGTGGAAGGTGACGGGGACAGCGGAGCCGACTTGCAGACGACAGCACGCCGACGATTGTTGGGACGCGGCCAGGAGAGCCTGAAACCGTACCTCTTGCATTTCCGGTGGGATCGAGAGCACCTTGGAGATGCTTGTTTCGGTCTGGCGCGGTCGCAGCTGATGGTACCGCCTGGCTGGGTTAGGGGTGTCCTTACATTTCTTCTAAGTCCTCTACCTACCCTGGCATGTGGCACAACAGGTAGGCCCCATTGTCATCTGCCTTTCCTGCATGATCGTATAGATTAGTTATCGATGGATAGCCGAACTATACAGCAGTAGTGTAAGGTGGATAGAAACTGAAGAATCCTTGAGCCCATAGCAGCAATATTATATCTATAGACTTACTCTTTCTAGAGATTCGGCGTCCGATTGCATTATATGAGCTTGTGCTTACTTTTTAAACTCCTTACTAGGACTATGAACGGGATCGAGGGCTAGCCCGCCCAGATACATTGTGCAGGCAGGCCATTCGTTCTGTCAGACACGCCTCTTTGGCCCCCAACACCTCAAACAGGACGCCTTTCCCGACTTCGCTGTTACCTAGGCTGCTCGGCATGGCTCCACCTACTAGCTTAGGGAAGGATTCGACCAATAGACTACAGTAGTTCGAAAATATGACCAGCAATGGATTTCAAAAGAAGATTCTAAGGCGCTTAGTTAGGTAGCCCTCCAAAAGTACCAAAGGCAGTAGCCGACAGTTCGAGTGCCGCACTGTAAACAGCGTTATTATCATTATTAGCTGGAGAAGTTGTATCTTGGGTTCGTAGAACAGTGGGGTGGGTCTCCTCGATTCACTTTAAGCCGCTGAGGTCATTGACACTACAGCCTCACCTTATCAAAAGTGCACAGAACAATAAGGACTTGCTTGTATAGGTGTTGGTCCACTGCGTAATTTAATCTAGTATTCTTAATACACAAGTTAGTAGCACAGAATAGCCGATCGTCACTTCCAGAAGTTTCGTTATCATTATTATCATGAATCTGTTGAGCCCATGCTACTCCGCAGACTAGGATTATGGGAGTCTCGTGCTCTGGTCTGGCGCTTATACCCCCTTCTTAGTAGGAAATCGCCTATACGCTAAGGTAGTAGCAGCTGGACCCAGCAAGTAGGATTTGATCAACTGAATCCATTGATACGCCACAGTTGCACCTAATAGGTCAGAAACTAAGATAGTGTCCGACCTAATCGAAACCGTGTCAAACAAGGGGATACCCATTATACAGCCATGACTCAGGAATGTAATATCGTAGTAATGAACTGGGGGTAATGGCCTTCGCAATGAAAATTAATTGGTATGATTCACGTGTTCTATCACCATGAGGAGGACGATGTCTTCTGTATTCACTACTCCTAGGCAATTTTATATGGATTACCGCCCTCCTGAGTACCTAAACTAGGCACGTGGCTTAAAGAAATTTACCCTGCTTCTCGCTTTGATGCTTTTATATAACATAATGCTGGTAATTTCAACGCTGCACGAAACAAGCCGTCATCGAATTAAGCTAGGATATTAAGGACCAGTCAATGCTCAATCCCCGCTAGTGTTGGAAAGGGGTAACATATTCTACCATTTTCTAATCAATTCGGTACACAGAGTCGGGTGTACCAGAGCACTTATCTAACCCCCGGCTAGTGGGCTCAAGCAGTAGGCTAATATTGACGGCAACCAATACGCGCAGGTTGGAGGACAACACTGACCCAGCTAATATCTTGACGAGTGGGGGCAGTGGAAAGCTGTGTGGACGGATAGACAGGGGTGTGCGCGTACTTATGTATGATTATGCAGGTAAGATTGAAAAAGCACACCCAGGCAACTATCCCCTTTGACTTGCCGAGGAAAAGAGTCGATGAGTAGATGGGTGTAACAGCGTCCCCGACCGGTCTAGAACCACGCACAGGACACAGAGGCACAAGAAGACATGATGATTGGGTAGACGAGTCACAGTTACGCTTAAGCCTATTAGCGATGTTTTGAAGCCATGCCGAGCCTCGAATCACTCGGTCGGCATGCTTCCTTGTATACAGACCAACGGAGCATTCCAAGCCTTCATCATCGCCGTTGCTAACCAGCCTTCGCTGACTCCCTCAGAATCCCTCATGATCGCGTCGTGGCGTATAGAAGTGGCGTTCTGCTGGTATTGAAGTCGTCCAATGCAGGTATCAGCGGCAGTCATTAGGCATCACAGTCATGCAGGTGTGTATAGATAGGTAAGTATGTACTTGCAATCATATTATGCAGGTAAGATCGAAACAGCGTTTTAAGACAAGTTACAAGTATCTCCTTGGCAGCTAAATTGGCTTATGATGGAGAGTATGCGCTATGTAGAGCCTATCTGTGCTCTAGCGATAGGTCAATGCATGCGCGAGCCGGTGGTACATGCTAGTGGCGCCCAGATCTTTAAACAGGATGCACGCTTATTAAGTGGTTACAAAGGTTACCCCAGACTAATGGGCCTACTCAGCAGTCAAGGGAGATAGGTTCGTACTGCACTGAAGAATTCCCAGCTTTAGGTAGCCTTCCCGCTGCGGGGGGGTGGGAAAGTTTTAGCGGCAATGCAGGTCAGACGGCCAGGCAGCTTCGGGGCAGATTTACGAGATACGAGGACGTGAAAAACCACGGGGATGAAGTATAAAAACGCCGTATATAACACGGATCTCATGATGAAAGTCACTAAACATTAAGAATTATATCCGCCATATAGCTAGCTCGTAGTCTTATCATCTTTTCCATTTGTCACCTCTTTTTGATCGTTTTCAAAATGGTGTCAGCGTGGCAACTGTGGCTCTCGCCGCGACCGCAGAAACGCACCAGAAACAACTCCCAACCATCTTTCAATCATCTGGGTAATGCAGCGCTGTACGAGCCTCTCTCAAAGGCTGACGGCCTTTGGTACGTCAGAGAGACGCATTACATAGAAAACGCACTTGTTCGTGCCGGACTGTCCGGACCTCCACTGTAAGTGAGAAAGATCAGATCATGATAGTCACGGAACGAATCTGATCAGCCGGTATGGCAGACATATACATCGTTTACAGGACGAATACTTCAAGGTCGAGCAGGGTGTATTGGGTATAGTCAAGAACGGAGTGGAATACACCGTCACCAAGGATGATGGAGTCTTCCACATACCGGCCGGCACGCGGTAAGTTGTCACCCAGCAGACAAGATGTCCCGCAGATTTGCTTCGAGAGCCATTTTGACTGACAAAAGCCGCCCTGGACCCGCAGCCATCGGTTCTGGTTTCATAAATCGTCTACGGAAACTGTCGTCTTCAATGTCTGGCTGGACCCCTGCAAGGATAAGGACTTTATTCTTGACGTGAACTTCCTGCGCAATCTTTCAGGCTATCTCGACGATTGCCTCAAGGCCGGCCTGAAGCCGTCCGTTCTCCAGATCATTCTGTTCACTGAAAACGCCTCCTCCCTCCTGTGCCCGCCGTTCCTGAATTGGATGCCGGTCTGGCTGCTCATTCCCGTACACCGAGGGCTTGCCTGGTTCGCAGAGAGAGTGTTAGGGTAAGCATCTCGTCGAACCCATAATTCCCTGATATATGCTTTTTTACGTGTATGCTGGGGGCTCGCTAACCCTCCATGAACCTCAGGTATGAGAAGTCGTATCCGGAGTACACCAGAGATTCGTGAAGCGTTCAGTCAGCTGTCACGAACATCGTTGTAAATAGCATGTTGAATTGATGTATCCCGGAATGTGACATACAGTTTAGAGCCACATCGCGTCCCAAAAGTTGTGGAATGTATCTGTTTCAGGTGTAACTTAGGTGAAAAATAATATGGATATTCGAACTGTGCTTCAGCATTAGACTATATTCACCCCTTTCACGTGGGCTTAGTGGATGAACTGTGACTTTAGGGCATTTTGGGCATAATTCTCTTTATTTGCAGGAGTTAGATATGATGTGGTTACTAGTGGATTTCCCGGCTTTACTGGAGGTAGAACCTTATATACCCAAGTTACCTTTGTACTTACCTAGCTCATATCTATATTTAAATAATCTACCTCCTACTTCTGACACCTGCATCTCCTTCATCTGCACTTGACTCACTTTCTACCCTACAGCCGGTAACCACCATGCCTCTCCCAATCGAACAACCTGCCATTCCACAAGGCTCGATTGTGCTCATTACGGGCGTCAATGGCTTTATTGGATCTCACATCGCAGACCAGTTTCTCACGTTCGGCTACAAGGTACGCGGTACTACGCGTAGCCTCGAGAAGAATGCCTGGATCAGCACCCTATTCGACAAAAAGTATGGTCCAGGCAATTTCGAGTTGGTGGCTGTGCCAGATATGGTGGCACAGGACGCCTTTGTCGAAGCTGTCAAGGGTGTCTCTGCTGTCGTCCATACAGCAACTATCTTTTCCCTGGACCCGAATCCTCACAACGTGATCCCGGGGACTATATCGGGAACAGTCAATGCACTGGAAGCAGCCGCCCAGGAGCCAAGCGTGAAGCGCTTCGTCCTCACGTCTTCTTCCTGCGCCGCCTTGATCCCAAAACCTAACAATCCCGTGAAGGTTACCACCGATACATGGAACGACGAGGCTGTGGAATTGGCGTATCGCGACCCGCCCTACGAGCCGGAGCGCGCGTTGCCTGTTTACGCAGCCAGTAAGACCTTGTCGGAAAAAGAGGCTTGGAAGTTCATGGACGAAAAGAAGCCGGGTTTCACCCTGAATGCCGTTTTACCCAACATGAACTTCGGTGCAAGCCTCGATGTGACCAACCAAGGTCACCCCTCCACCTCAGCCATCGTTGCCGAGCTCTTCAAGGGAGACACCAATTACCTAGGCGGCATTACACCTCGTAGGTCCCACTGATGTACACCGGAGAATAAACGCACTGACCCGAATCTCAGAATACTTTGTCGATGTGCAGGATGACGCCATACTGCACGTCGCTGCCGCCATTCATCCTGGTGTTCAGTCTGAGCGTGTCTTCGCCTTCGCCGCGCCCGTGAACGGGGACAGTGTTCTGGCCGTCCTCCGTAAACTCTATCCGAGCCGTAGCTTTCCCGCCAACTTCCAGGCAGAGGAGGATTTGAGCGAGATTGTGCCTCGGAAGCGAGCCGAGGCCTTATTGCGCGAAATGGGCAGGGACGGATGGACCAGCTTGGAGGAAAGCATCAAGAGAAACACGGAGGACCTTGTGTAAGATGTGGAGCAATGGGGGCCATGCGGCCAATGGGAAGG